AAAATGACTGACAAATGTTGGTGCTTATGACGAAATCAGTGCAAAATGGTTTTATATCATTAATTTTTGTCTATAATCTACTGAGTAGTATAACTGAGTAGTCGACCAGCAAAGTAAGGCTAACTTCCCCAAAAAGCTTCAAATCATCCTCAATTGATAATTTAGTTGACAAAAATTTACTTTTTTTTAGATAACATAAAACTTTTTTCTAAGAACAAAAATTTTGAAGGCATAAAATATTTGTGTGGCATTAAAATTGACATTGAGCCATTTTATAGCAAAAAAAAAACTTGTTTAATATTAAAAATTATATTGTAAAATATTTTCTAATACATATACTTTACAATAAAATCATTTTCAATCTTTTGAAATCCATACATCCCTTGAAATCAATTCCAAAATTTTTCAATAGTACAATTTTCTCTAATAAAATGCTTGAAACGTGATTACTTTAACGCTTTGTGGACGGGACTGTTCCAAATGGTGGTGCCCTCCTGCCGCCATAGTCATTTCATATATAGCCAACGCATATTTTAGGTACTCTTACTCAAATTCTAGCACTCCAACTTAAATTATAGACATACATGTTATATTTAAATACACAGATTTTCTATAGAATAATTAAAATATTTATTTGTTCATTAACTATTTGGTTTGGTTTCATTGAGTTCCTCGGCCATCGGCATGAATTTAGGTGGAATACATATATGGGTTTCTCGGGTCTAACAACTGCCCTCGCCAAACGCATATATAGGTTCTTTCATGAGAATATTAAAATAAATTGGAATTATATCGCAAAGTAGTTTCTAATACATTTACCTAACAATAAAATCATTTTCAACCTCTTGAAATCCTTACATCACTTGAAAACAACCCAAACAATTAAAAATAAATTTTTACTATTTCAATTCTTCAACCGTACAATTTTTCAACAGTACTTCATTTGAACTTGAACGTGATTACTTTAAACTTCTGAAACAATTCAAACATCATATGTCCTCATAGAAGCCGTTACGTTCGTCGACGAGCTTCCGGGCGTAGACCGCATCATACCAGGCGAGGTTCCAGAATTAGCGGCCGAGTCCATCACCGCGACCGACGGCAGCGCGAAAAACCCACTCAGCGGCGCTTAAGACATCACAAATCCGACGCTCTCGAAGAGCCGGAAAGAAAAGATGAAAGTACGGAGATCAAACCCGTCACTTCCGATCAACAAGTCAGTATTTTGATATACAGTTCAGTTGAGTTTGAAATATTATGTAGATGGTTTTCTATCTTAACCCTCCGTCGGTCGGCGTGGTCTGGCCAGACTTTTTTCGACTTCAATTTAAAAAAATATATACTTCTAGTAATCCTATCGACTTGAAATTTCTTGACTTTTCCTAAAATTTCATTAGCTGTCAATCAATGAAAAAATCAGGACAAAAAAATGTACAGAAGGATAATTATAAGGATATTAACTTTTTTATACTTAGAACGGTCGGAAACATCTGTCCAGACCACCCATACATTTTGTATGAAATATACCCTTTTTGATATATGTAAACTAGTATTTTGTCTTTTTTAATGGTATTTTCTATTAAAACTGCGTTATATACTTGTTTATCTATGGTTGTACATATTCTTTGCTACGTGTTGTAACATGAATGTTAGTATTTTCATTATAACCAAACTTATTGGTAATCGCAAACACTGAAAATCGGATGAGTAATGCACACATTATCAACAATTTTTCTACCCGTACTGCGTTCGATTTTTTTTTTTTTTTGGCAAAGCTGTAGTGAAATTATATTTTCACTTTGAGTTTTACAGCTCATTTTAAAGGCGACGCACCTCATTTCGTTTTCATTTGAATTTCACATTCTTTCAAAGGCGCCGAAAAAGAATAAATATTGTTTTTCATCGATATAAAACAGAAAAATTAACAAAAAAAGCGACGATTTTTTATATTTCTTGATTTTTTTTATATAATCGTTAATATATAATATATATAAACACCAAAAACTCATTTATTCCATATAAATGCATGTAAAATGAATGGTGGTCCAGCCAGACCTTTCCGACCGTTCGAAGGTGAAAAAATATCCGACCGACGGAGGGTTAAAGGTATTTTACGTTTTCAACATTTGTTTCAATTTATAAATTTATATATATATATATATATATATATATATATATATATATGACAAATGTATTCTGAATGGATAGATAGATATTAATTTAGAAATATGAACAAGCAAAATTCTTTTTTGCACTTACTTATTAAATAATAATTTCACAAAAGTTTCGAGACTAGGTTTGTCTCATCATCAGTGTGTTATAATTTAAAATTTTTAAAATATGGAAACTTAAAATAGCATTATATGTGTTATCCTTTACAAGTCATTCAATATACTGGCTTCTGCCCCACCAACGATCGTCGGAGTCCGAATTCTCTATTCATTCTCAAGTGCCTCGCTCAAGTGGTAAAAGTCACGCGATATCAAATAGGACAGGAAGGATTAGGGCCCAGTTGAAACATATATATATATATATATATATATATATGAATAAATATATATATATATATATATATATATATATATATATATATATATGAATAAATATAATTAAAATAACAAGCAATATGTAATCAAAAAGAAAAACTTCTAGCCGTTTTCCACAAAAAATTACTTTTTCAATGGCATTTAGTACGATTTTGTATAAAAACTGCCACGTATCATAGTCTTGCAATAACATTGATCTATTTCACGGCAGCATCAGCCCATAAATCTTTTCTTACATTGTAAATATACATAAATATTGCGATTAAAAATAAAAACAGTACCTTCAACAATTCAACTAAAAATAATAATTTATTTAATTTTAAAAAATTACATTTTCTTAATTGTTTGTTATAGTCCAAGTTTTCGCACGAATCTGAGAAAAGTACTTCAAGTATAAAAAAGTGTGAAACTGATGACAAAGTAGTACGCACAAGTAAACAACAAGCAGTAGCTAATAAAAAGAAACGCCAAATTATACAAAAAAATCAAAGTTTCTTCATGGATTTAAGAAGCAAAAATAAAAATCACCAAAGGAAATTTGCCAATTCTGGAGTACGCCATATGGACAATGAAGTAATTGTCTTTGATTTTTGTTTTTAGAAAAGATAAATAATATTTATGCCAAAGGTATTATAGAAAATTTTAGGGCATTTATACAGCAATTAAAATAACTTAGTTTAAAGGTATTATTTATGTTAGTACACTTGTCCTAACTTCTTTCACTATAATTCATGATTAATCGGAATTGATGGTTTATTAAATTAAGCCTTAAGGCAAAATTTGGAACATATTAATTGAATAAATAAATTAAGAATTAAGAACGAAATTTAAGTTGAATAATAGTACATTTGTCTAACTTCTTTCCTAATTTATGATTACTAGGATTTATAATTTATGATTAATAGGAATTAATAATAATTGGTACAATATATTCATATCTGACACATTTACAGAAATGTGTACCTAAACTTCTATTAATTACCTTGAATTCGTAAATTTGATTTTATGTACTCAAGCAAAGTTCACTAAATATGTATATCTTAAAATACAGATTCAAAATTTTTCATATTATAAAGCTCACCTTGTCATAGACACCTCTCTATTTTTTTTTTTTTTTTGAATGATGAAGATATAACTTTTTAATCTCTATTTCCAAAAAGGTAATAGTAATCCACGATGACAATTCTAATCAAAATCTCGATTTGACAAAACATAAGAAAAGTATGAGGAGCGGTGATAATGTTTCTAAAACTCCAGATAAATCTCCTGGTTCATCTGCTACATCTTTGGAACCTCAGAGTGCCCAAAACTCAAAAGACTCAAAAACCTCCAATTCCCAAAAATCAATTGGCACCGAGACTGTTTTCGATAAACCGACTTCTCAGCAATAATAATGGAGTTTGAAATGTAATATTAGGCGATTTAGCCGAAATAATGTTTAGCAAATGTACTTGTAAAAATTTGAATTTGATGTTAATATTATATAAAAGAAATATATTGTATATTGAATTGAGACAAGTCAGTTTTCCGTTTTATTTTATATATGATATTGTTAATAGCGAAAAATCTAACGTTTGTGTTGTAATTCTGATCTGTGGTGCGATTGTACAAAATTGTATTATACGTCTACTTCTAAATTATCTTTCAATTGTTTATAGAGTATTAGTATTAAAATTTTGTTACAAAATCTGCAATTATGGAAATTTTAATGATAGAAAATTAACAAAACAGTAATGATTGATATTGAAAAAATAGCGCTCTTTAATATGTTTGATCATGTATCATAATGATATGGTTACGAAAACGTTCATAATTCAGAAATATTCTGTGAACTTCACAGTATTATATGATATTAGCAAATTAAAAACTATTTTATATAACTAAACATTGAGATTTTAGTGTAGTGAGGTTCAACTTTTTTGGACACAAATGTATAGGATTTTCAAATCCAGTCAAAACTATAACTGTGGAATTATATCACAACTAATTTTATAAACTTTTTTGTCATGTTTTTCCTTATATTCAACAAACTTAACTAAGTTTCTTAGTAAAACTAAGTTAATTATCTGTGGTAACTAAGTTAGAAAATAACTTAGTATAACTAAGTTGAACTAAATAACTTTTCTTGATTGTAGAAATCTTGCAATGATTCATCTTAATTAAACAGTAAAATTACGCCTGCTTCATGATTGAGAAAACGCTGTATGATGCACGTAGTATCTAAAAAAAATTAATATTAATATAATTTATTAAAATACAAAAACTAATTATAGTAAAATTAATAATAAAAATAAGTTTCATAATATGTATACATTTATACAGATTCTGGAATAAAGTAATATAATGCAGAATAAAGCTTACCAGAAAATAGAAAATAGATAGAAAACGGAATATTTTATCAAAACAATGAACAATTCGATATTCTAATTTTTAGAAACATTTTTTTAGATCATGTCATGACATGTCTTTGCCATTTTCAAATGCCTAAAATTATAAGAAATAAAACGATAAAAAATTAAGAGTATTTTGCTTGAAACATGTTTTTAAGTTATTGTAAATGCCATGTTAATTGAGTATTTCTGTAATACTTTTAGGTTTTTTTTTTAGTATTTGGAATCAATTCAAGACAATAGTATTACTCTAAAGTTATTTGTTTTTGGTAATAATTTTTATGTTATTTGAGACTATTTCTAATGCATTCTTCAGTACACATTACTGATCTAGGTTGTTTTTTTTCGGAAAAATATCAGCTTTTAGCCAAAGTATTATACTAATTTATTTTAACGGGTAACTTTTTGATATAATGCCAGAAATATTCAGGAGAATATGATTCATTATTGTTATATCATAATTACCATTATGTAGGTTTGCAAATTCATAGGAAATAATCCTGCTTGAAAAATAATTAACCTTTGTGCTCTTTGTATCATGAGTGATACAGCATTTTTGTAGGCCTTTGAATCGTCTATCCACTGAGATTCATATATATCTGTCGCTAGATCTTCACTCTATTAATAATAATTCAATCTTTAAATCATTATTATTTTAAAGTATACATGTAAACCTTATTTGTTTTGTTATTTTTTCCAAATCTACGGATCAATATAACTAATCAATATTAAGAGTTATTCCAGTTTTGAGGAGGGTTTATATATATGGTTTCACCTATAAAATTACTAATTCTTAGGTCTTCGAAATATTTTTGCTTAAAAAAGGTTTACTTTTTCTCATAGATCAAAAATTTTCAGTCAATATATTAATATGTAATTTGCTGTTTTTTTAAATTTGTATATTCTCTATGCATAAAATGTTGTTCGGTTCTTCTTACCTGTTTGAGACTAATGTTCATCATTTTTATTATTTAAACTTCCAAAGTGGTACCAACAACATTTTGAGAAAAATATAATTTATTCGAACCTTTTCAAGCTAATTACGTAACAAAAGTTTTGTAAAAAAAAAACATTTTTTTTTTAAAACAAATTTTTACACCGTATTAATTGGTTATAGTCCTGATCCTCTAATCATATAAATTGCGTATAGATTAATTTTCAATAAATGAGTTAAATAGTTGACTATTACCATTAAGAAACAAACCCATACAATGATAAATTACCTGTACTGTAGTTTCATTGGCATGCCAGTAGTAAAGCAAAGCACAAAATACTTGAGACTGTAAGAATCCTATAGTGAAAAATAAATCAAAGCCAAATCCTTCTATCTGAAATATAGAATTGTTAATAAATTATGTTATTTTATTTTTCTAAAACAATTAGATGCAAAGAAATCAGTTCATACTCGTGATCCCATCAATGCTTGACCACATAGAATAAAGACGAAATTGAGGAAATCAGCACCCATTGCAATTGATATTACTGATCTTAAATCCTCGATAAATCTGTGAATACATGTCTATATATATATATATATATATATATATATATATATATATATATATAATATAAATATAAATATAAATGGGTGTCTGTCTGTATGTGTAATTGTTATGCATTCAAAAACCATATTAATTTTTAGGTAAATCTAGAGACAGGTTTTCGGTTATTTTGATTGAAGCCAAGTTGTAGGGGTTGGCTGCACCGGAGACTTTTCAAACATTTTTTTTTATTTTGTAAGAATTATTATAGTAATTATATCTTTTTTAATTAATTGATAATTGGTAGACTAGTAGACAGGTAAACTGGCAGATAGATAAACAGGTGAAAAGATAAATAGTTGAACAGGTAGATAGATAAGTGCGTAGACAGACAAACAGGAAGACAGGTAAATTATATGTAAAATGGTAGATAGGTAAAATGGTGGACAGATAAATTGGAGGATATGTAAAATTGTAGACAAGACAACTGGTAGATAGAATTTTTATTAGACAGAGATAATGGTTGATTGATAATAGTAAAATGGTGGATTGATAAACAGGTTGATAGGTAAATTGATAGACAGGTAAATTGTTGAACAGGTGTGCTGATAGACAGGTGTACTGGTAGATTGGTAAATTAATGGACTGGTAATTTGGTTAACAGGTTGATGGGTAAACTGGTAATCAGAGAGGTAGACAGATAGTCATATAGACACGTAGACTGGAAGACAATCAAACTGGTTGACTAGATGTACCACATATGCATTTTTGCTCAAAATTTTTGAGTGTTTATTAATGTATGTAATATTTTTAATAGCTTAATTGCAAAAAAATGATCTATAAATTAAGTGCAATTTTCATTAATTTTTGTCGCAAGATATTCCACCTAACCTGCTAAAATGTGCATCAATAATTTTTTGAAATCTAGCACGATTTCTATAGTTTATTGTGTTGGTATACTGGTAAATTGTAAAGCGTTGTTGTTGTAAATAGAATATCTTAATAAATTATATGAATGGAGCAAAAAAGTAACAAACTGTTACTGATCAAAACATAATTATAATTTTTTCATTATAATATTTTTAGCTAATGATTATAATAATTAGCGTTTTATAATCAGATTATATAACATTTTCAATGACAAACAATTTTTTTTAACTAAATCACTAGTTAGATGTCAAAATTAAGCAACTTACTGGATTATAGACAAATGTTCCTTAACCCGATCAACAATAAAATTATAACTGCCCCTGCAAGTTGTGCTTTCATTAATGCTTCCTAATTTCAATTGTGAGGCAAAAGCATCTCGATGTTGCAATTTATGTCGAAGTATTTTTATCATGCTGGTTGCATATATCATCAACACCATGACCATGACGTTCCATTGTGGCATCAGGATGGCATCCATGATACAAGCGTAGAAGTATAAACTAAATGGAATCCATACGTTGTTTTTGTCGATGAATGGAAACCAAGTTTCAGCACAGAATGGATGAATTCCTTCACCAGGTCTAAAGAGAAATTGAAATATTTTACAGGCAGGAAATAAAATGCAAATTAATTTTATTTTATCAGATCGGATAGTGCATATGCACTTAAAATGGAATATGTATCATAAAAAATAAAACATGATTTTTGTTTCAAATTGAAAGATACACGAACACATAGTGAAACTCTAGAACACGGTTCTGTTCATATGGCGAAACAATAATTATGCTGCATACTTTTGGTTCTCTGTTATTTATTTTATGAAACTAGGATATAATTTTCAATTATACATTATTTAATTGTTTTATAAGGTGTATTGTTATTTTTATGTTAGATCCAATAGTTTTTAAAGTAAAACTTCTTTAAGCGCGACTAGGGTTTAAATCTGTACAAATGCAACGGAAGTTCGTTACGCCCGAACTGTTTGTCATTCGCTCTCGATAAGATCATTTCTATACGGGTCGATTGTCGTTAGTCGTAGTGTATGTGAAGAGAGATCTATTGTTGTATGCGTACCGGCATCAACGTTGTATGCGTACCGATAACAACAAGGAAATCGGCGTAGATAAATAAACATTTTAAGGTTACATCGTAGTACAAATCTTGATTTAATAAAAAATGCCTTAATCAGAAGAATATTTTACCATGTTCTTTGAATATAATAAAACAAATTAAACATTTGGGCCGTGTACTAAACGTAGTTTGTTGATTAAAAATTATTTCTATATTATTCATAGATTCTATAAATCTTTGAAGTTATTAAAATGGAAAATATTTTTAGGCAAGACAGATATTACAGCTGTTCAAAGAATGAGATTATATCGCCAGCAAAAAAGTAAAAAAAATACAAGCAGTCAATGAATGTATGTTAATTTCATTTACATGAAGTTCTTCAAACACAATTCTTACATGATGAGTGAAGTTGCAAAAACTATATTTGTTTAGGCGTTCATTAACATAATCCACTGTGTGAACAAATATTATAGATTTTATTAATCAGCAAGTACCAGTTTTCACCCGGGTTTTTCCAAAAGTTATATTTGTTCTAAATTTAGAAATTTTGTCCAGGATTGTCCAGATTTTTCGAAAATTAATAAGTAGGTAAATTAACAAACATTATAAATTATGAAAAAAAATGGAGTAGAATTTTATACAAGTCTCAAAGTAAGAAAAACATATCGATCGAAACATATAATATATCATCGTATTAGTAGTACCTACATATAATCAAAAAATAGAATTTTTCTGAATGTACGCAATTCTGATTGAAAAAAAATTATATAAAAAAACTACTTTTTTATTGTATTTGTAAATAGCTTTGTTATTTTACAGATCCTCCCCACATTCCGTCTTATCCCGGATTAGTATAACTAAAAATTGTTATCCCAGTTTTGTCTTAAAAAAATTGGGTTACCTTCTCACGTATATAAAAAAGTATCAAAATAAATACTTACTCTCGAAATATAAAAGTCAGACCAAACAGATAAATCCCAAATACCCCTGATGTAAAAGTCATCATAGATTGCATTATCCAGGCAACTCTTCTAGATCTTTTTATCATGTCCTCCAAAATAATTTTCATACCTTCATCGCCTTCTTTTTCAATTAATTTCATCGAATCATTTACTCGACTATAAAGTGAGCTAAATTTATTTCTGTTTATTACTGATGCCAATCCTTTTGACCATATGGTAAAATACATGCACATCGCACTGCCATTGTTAAAAACTAAATCTACTTTGAAATTATTGACAATCAGGAATACTACTTGAGAAAAACTATACCACATATAGGAGATTATTACAAAATAACCCCATAAGTTGTGGAGGAATTTAAATTTTTGATCTTGAAATTGAACAAATCCTGATACTCTGAGCGCATAAAGAGGAATTTGTAGAATTTTATTGTTCTTTATTTCAACGTCCATGTTGGTCAACTAATGATTTGCTAATTTTTCTACGTCTCCAGAAGAATTTTTTTCACCTGGATTTGATTTACCGAAGTAATAATTATGAAAACTATGATGATTTTAATATTCCTTCATTTGCATAAGTAATATGAACTCAAGTTTTATAATCGATTTGTGATAGTGTATTATTATAAAAAAGACCAGAAAAACTTAATCGGATAATTATACAGTTCATAAGTTCAGCAAAGAATCAGTAATTTTGATTTAAATTATTCATTTGAAATTTCTTGAGGTACAAGAATTCTGTAAGAAATTATTTTATTCATAACTATTATTATTTTTATTATCTTTTTTACTATTTATTTATTTTTTTGTGTATAAATGGACATATTTTTTATATTAGGGGAGACTGGGTACGGTTGTGCCAGGTTGGGATAGTGACAGTCGTCATTACAGCTAAACAGTACTGATTTTGAGATAGAGGGTCCAAAGGGAAAGATAAAGTTTGTTTGAACAAGTTCCTTTCATACCCCTATACAATATTCTTTGACTACATTTTTACTGATATATTTATAAAGCAGTATATTAATATAAAATAAATAAAATACTATTTAATACTATATAAAAAATTAAGGTCATAAATATATAACTTCTACTTGTATGAACTTGTAATTTGTCAAAATAACTACTCAATACTCGATCACATTATTCTGATATTTTTTTTTCATATTTTTAGAGTATATTTGGATCATTTGAGTCAAATGTTGATGCTGAAATGCTATTTTAATATTGAATTACTATAATTTGTTTTAAATTTGTTTAAAAACTTCAATCTCATCTCGTGATAACTTGCAATTCAATATGAAAGTTAATTCAAAATGAAAATACATTGATAATTTAAATAAATTATAAGATGCTATGAAAATTAAAGTTAATGCCATGGAAATTTTAATAAACAAATACTTTTTATTTATCTTAGGATGTTTATTTATAATATGCGTTATATCTTTCTATTATTTTTGCAATTCATCTTCTATCCTAATTCGTATTTTAATAAAATAATTGTATAAGATCATTCGTATATTTATTCTAAAAATTTTACATGTACTATTTTATACAAAATATCATTTAAAAACTAGTTTCAAAATTTTGCACATTTATTATAATTTATATTAATTATATTATATTAGTTATTCACTGTCCTCAAAATAGTGAAGGCGCTGTAAGCGATCCGCAACATCTAAAAGAAAATTTAATATAATTCAAATGTTGAATAGCATTTTTTATTAATTATTTGTTCAAATTTTTTGGATACATACTGTTATATATGTAGCTAGATTCATCGGAAAAAGGCCCGCGGTTAGAGTAATGGGTCTGTTTGCTCTTTGAATCATTAAAAGCAAAGCTCGTCTATAATTATTATTATCGTCGACCCAAGGTGATTCATAAGCAGCTAAAGCTAATTCTTCTGCCTGGAATTAAAAATATGTAAAAATCTTAGCCTTATTATTTATAGATTAGGGCAATTCAAAACAAATTTTGATTGATTCTCAAAAATTGATTTTCAGATTAAAGATTAACATTCAGCTTTTAGTATGAAAATACTATATTTTAAAGGAGCCACAGTAAAAATATTTAGCATTATTTTAAAATCATCTGTCACATTCAAATAAAAAGGAGCAGCATAATTCAATCTTTTACAGATTCATATATTTCATGAATAAATTTTAAGAGCGTGATTGATATGTATATCCAATCAATAATATACGGAGGAAGTAAATACAAAGTAAAATCATTGTAACTTTTTACGAATTTAATATTTTAAATATGAATATAATATAAATTTACAAACCTCTGCAGATGTTTCATTTGCATGCCAGTAGTATAGCAACGCCATGAGCATTATTGTTAAAAAATAGCCCCAAATAAATGACATTTCCCATCCGACTTCCAACTTGAATAATAAAAATCATCATTTATTAATTTATAGTATTCATAGTATTAATATAAACTTAATTTCATTATATTTTTTATCGTACTAATACAAACCTGTCTGTTGGCAAATGCTCAAGTTGTTTCATCAACCCTATTATTAGATTTTTTTAAAAACCTTATCAAAAATTTTCCAAAAAAATTGCATATTTCTATATTTAGAAAACATATTGATCCAATAATTATGATTTGTCAAAATTTTCAAATTGTTATTAATAATTGAATTAATTATAAATTTATTCAAATTGAAAAAAAAGTTTGATTTATTGAAAATTTACAAATTAATTAGAAATATTTTTTGTTTAATTATTTTGGTATCTTGTAAAAATGCAATATGAGCATATCAATAATTTTCCATTTAAAATTTTCAAGAAAAGTCAATGAAATTACCAAGTTTTCAGAAAATTCTATCGATTCTAATTCCAAAAACTTCAAATTTTTTAATATTGTTATTAAGGAAATATTCTTAGGGGCAAGCAATTTGAATTTAAAAAGTTGATTTCAAAGTGTTTTTAGCAAATAATTATTTAACAACATAATTTATACATAAACTACTTTGAATAATACACTATAATACGATCTACAATAATTTTCAATTTGAATTTATTTTATTATTATTATTAACCACTTAACGGTCGGGTTTTTTTT